TAAAAATAAGTAAATGTGTGGTATTATATCTATTTATTTAAAAAAAAGTACATGTGTGGTATTATATCTATCTATTTAAAAATAAGTACATGTGTGGTATTATACCTATTTATTTTTCTTTCAATTTCAAGTAATAGAAAATATCCCCTACCATAATATATTCCTTGTAAAGCAATTTTACCAGCTGGAGGTTTGGGTGTCCCCCCTTTTCATGCCCTACGGGCAGATTTTAATCCCCCCCTATCTTTTTGACCTGTGTGACACCTATGCGTTATTACACTGTTAAGGTTATTTCCATGCAAATTATACTTATAATTCAAATTATGATAACCCACATGCATTATCTTGCATTTGTTATAATGGAAACCCATCTGCCATTTATTTGCCCAACTCACTAAATGATCTAAGTCAGTGGTTCTTAACCTTATTCCATGCCCCACCTCGACACCTTAAAAAATTTGATGCCCCCTTAATATAAAAACACATTTGGTGTTGAAAAGAACCTTAATATTATTAGCAAATTTAAGTAATTTGTTGACCATTCCTTCACCCATGTCACTGATATAAATTAAAAACAGCAAAGGTCCTAAGACTGAGCCATGAGGTACCCCTCTTCTGAGATTAATCCAATGTGATTGAACTCCATTTATAACAATCACCTGCTTTTTACATCCAGCCACTCCTCTTCTGTCCAATTTGCTAACTTATCTCCCACACCTATGGAGATATTATATTTTACAAGCCTTTTATGTAGCACCTTGTCAAATTCTTTCTAAAAATCCAGATATGCCAAATCTACACCCTTACTCTTATCTATAGAAACAGTAACCTTTTTTCTATGTTTGTATTTTATCCTGTTTTAAGTCTTAGGCATTGTAAATATATTCTGAAACATAAACATAAAAATATAATTAGAAAGGGCAACTCGAAGTTATACGGAATAGGTTTGTTCACATATAGCAAGATGTAAACTATAGGGCTGCTTGTTAACTATACTATAGGCCTAAAAATATTCTATTATCACTCCTAGGGCTGTAGTTATCCCACTTATTTTCCTCTTCAAAGACACGTGTACTATTAAACCTTACCTTTGACAAGAGTATGGTTTGATAAGTTATATTTGTGTGTGGATCTCTATAGCTAACAGCCTGATGCATTGTTTGTTTGTTTTGAAGTTCGCGCAAAGCTACACGAGGGCTATCTGAGCTAGCCGTCCCTAATTTAGCAGTGTAAGACTAGAGGGAAGGCAGCTAGTCATCACCACCCACCGCCAACTCTTGGGCTACTCTTTTACTAACGAATACTGGGATTGACCATCACATTATAACGCCCCCACGGCTGAAGGGACGAACATGTTCGGTGTGACGGGGATTCGAATCCGCGATCCGCAGAATGCGAATTGAACGCCCTAACCACCAGGCCAAATGACTTATGTAATAGCTGTAGTTGTGGGTAGAATGAATGAATGAAGATAATCTGCTTTGTTTACTCGTCAAAAATGCTCAGCCTCGTTCTCGTGACGACCTTGACACATCATATAAAGAAAACCATGTCCTGGTGTATGGAACGACTGTCAAAACACAAAAGTCTAACGTTCAGGGAACGATTATAAAAACACAAAAACCTGACGTTAACCTAACGGTGTAAAATCACAAAACATTAACTGTCACTTAAAAATAACAATTTTTATAAATCCTGCATAGGCGCCCGCAGGAAGGGGCGAGAGGGGGCACTCGCTCCCATTACATTTCACAAAAAAATTACACATATTATGATGTAAACTTAACATCGTAGTTAAACTAAATATTTTTAGTAATATTTATTAAAACTGTAAATTTCTGTTTGTGTTTAAGCACACTTAAACCCATATTATTTTAGTCTGTTGACTTACACTATAAAAGCTGATCCTCAACATACATGGTCCCGCCCTCGAAAATATTTCTGTGGGCGTCCATGTAATAAAATATAGAATAATATAGGCTTTAATAAATTTCTGGCTAATAACTGGCTAAATTTCAACAAACAAGGCGGTAGGTGAGAAAGTTTTCAAGTGAAATAAAACTATGAATATGCAATAGTTGTCTTATCTTTGAATCACAATATTTTAAAGTTAAGTGATTTATAACATGGTATAATATTATATAGTTGAGCCGTACGTTGGTTGGTGGCGCTTCAAAGTTTGTTCACGACGGTCCTAAAGTTGAAGCGTGTAAAAAATAAATTATAACTGTTCAGTCTGTTTTCAACATAAATTTCATTTATTGATGTATTAAGTTATATCTTCAGCATTTACATCTCTATGAGGCGTGAAGCTGTTAACAGATAATAAATGTTTTAATTTCCCCATTTTTATCACTTAGTGTAAGTACCACAAATTAATGTTAACTCATTATATCCCTTTACACTTACACCAAATAGCAACGTAAATTCAAAACGACGGAATTATTTTGGCGGTAAACTAATGTCGTTTCGATGGTCACCGTTCTTAATTTTTTTTTTAACTTGGTTTCATTGTGTTCCTATATAATGACAAAGAGAATATTTTGTGACATTAAGAAAACGAAAGACATTTCTTTACAGTTAAACCTAACCGTTCTCATCATTACCACAATACTAGTCTTAAGTGTAGTTACATAATAATTTAATTACAGGTTTTTCATAGTTTGATCATTTAAGGAATTACAACAGCACGCAGCACCCAGAATTCTTCACGCTAGAAGAACCAAGTAACTGGTCAGATGGAGGGTCTTCATACTGACCGTCTAGGTATAAACGAGTTATGTACATGTAGTAGCAGGTCTTAGTAGGTTTTACATTCACTTTGTTGACTTCTGTCTTATCCAAAACTTCCCCGTAAAGGCTCAACTGCACAATATCGGTAGCTGCATTGATGACAACTGCCCCTGCAAAGTGTTGACGTACAAAAAGCTTTAGGGATCGTTTGTAAAGTTCAAGTGGTAAAGTTCAACTACACTTATCCTAAGATAAAAATAGACTACTTATGTTTTTAGTTTGTTTGTTGAATTTCACGCAAAGCTACTAAAGGGTTATCTGTGCTAGTCGTCCGTAACATTAACGAGAGGGAAGGCAGTTAGGCAACATTAACCTTTGCCAACTCTCGTCAGACCGAATAGTGGGGTTTGATCGTCACTCGTATAATGCACACATGCCCCTCAAATTGCAGAGCATGATTTTTTTTTTTTGGTAATGAAGCTCGAACCACGAAACCTCAGATCCACACTAATCACTGGACCGCACTCGGTCTGCTTTAGTTGGTGAACATTTCGAATAACAACTTTTACCCCAAAACTCTCCACTTCAGTTTTAAAGTCACTAGGGCACCACCAGGGAATGCTCACTTTACAGTCAGCACTTTGGTCTGGTGGTCCCGTTGTTTGTATGCACGCAGAACCTGTCCGAGTTTTTGTCCAAATAAATGTTCCATTGCATTATATGTAATTATATCACAAGAACAGCATTTTACAAACACCGAGCCAGGTCACCCATTCTGAACACAGGGGGTGTTTCATCTTACCAAACAAATACCATAGTTCATTATAAATCAATGTGTGATTACGTTAGCTCGTTGATTATATGTACCCCCTCTTCACATTTCTTACCACCCCTACTGCAACAAACTAGTTTCTTTATGTGCTTCAGTTCCCTTAGAGGTCGAGAATTTATCATTGTGATAGGCTAGGGAGAAGGCAGGTAGTATGCACCTCTCGCTGCTAACTCTTGGGTTACTCTAATTAAATATAAGGATTGTCATCATACTATAAGACCCACACAGCTGATTTTGTTTGTTTGCTTGATTGATTGTTGTTAAGCGCAAATGGGCTATCTGTGATGTGTCCATCACCAGTATCGAAAACTAGTTTTTAGCGTTACAAGCCTTCATATTTACCCCTGACCCAATGGTGGTGCGGCACAGCTGAAAGGGCGAGCATGTTTGGTTTTGGAATTCGAAGAGTACCCACAGATTGCGAGACTAGACCATGCCAGGCCCCTATTTGTGAATATATGGAGATACGTTTAATTGATAGCTTTGTAATTTATAAAATAACTCCAAATGAGAAAATACTATTAAAGTGTGCTTAATGGACTACGGGATTTAAAATGCAAATATAGCAGAAGATGCTGGAACATGATTGGTGGGTCCAATCTACCAGCATACAAACGTCCCCTTCAGTTCTACTTACACTCGGTTATCACAAAGATAAACTTGTTATACTCGTGTTTCCTAACACAGATAACTTGAAAGAGCTGAGATTACTTTGGTATTGTTAATTTGTTTCAAAATAAATTTTTCATAGTGTATATGTTTCTGGTGATGGTGTATATGCTTTTGGCGGATGGTGCTTTTAACACACCTCGAATTTGTTTTTACTTTTTTTTTTTTACAACTAGAGTAACGTTACTTTCATTGAGCCTCACAGTTGCTCAGCTGTAAGTCGAACGTTAAAAAACTCGTGGTGAACAGATCACAGCTAGCCTATTGTATAGCTTTACGTTTATCAACAAACGACAAGTTTTGCATCGAAATGAATTTCTTAGAAGCAGAAATAAAAAATTAAAAACTACAAACATTTGAAGTGTTTTATATTATCTTCAAAGAATGACTGTTCTTTAGAGGCTTCTAATAATTGGTTAAGAATAATAACTTATTCATAATTTTCGTGGTTTAAAATGGTTTTATATTTTATGTAATAATTTTATTCATTAACCTTCTAATATACCTGATAGTTTTACCCAGGAACTAATCATTTCCTTAATTTTAACAGCATCGTCATGTGGAGGATTGTTCATGTTGCTCCTATACTGTGCGGGAACAATAGTTTTACAGGTGAGTCGTCTGGTGAGATGGGTAGTCTTCTGTTCAGAACTATTTTGTCTCGCGTAGAATACCCGAAGAAATCGGGCAAAGTGGTGCTCTAAATTATGCTGTTCCAAATAGCTCATTTGCTGTGAGTCTCCATACTTCTCTTGAAGTGGAATACAAAACAAATGGATGTTATTTGCCTGAAAATTCACAAAAGTCTCGAATGAAACCTAAACCTAAACACAACCCAGATTTTCGTTACTCGTTACTCTGTTGATTACATTTAACATTGTATGTGAACATTTTGTTTTTTTTTGTATATATATATATAAACAGATCGGACATGAAACACAAACAAAAGGCGGGAAGAATGAAATGAGTTCCCAATAACAAGAATATATCTTTTTGTCATAATTCTAATCTCTATTTGCAAAACACACTGGTGAGAATTGGAGTTAAAAATCAAGCTTGAAATGTCCCACATCTAAGCCTACTATTGAAAATCTGCTAACAGGTGTCAAAAATGACCCTAAAACAACATCTAAGGTAATATAACACTGGCATAGCAACTCTTTTTTTACACTTAGACTTTTGTGTAATCTTTTATAGTGGCACAGCTTACTTGTAATGAAATGTTTTATTAAAGCAATTTTTCTGCTAAAAAAATAATGTACTAACTATTCCGAAGGTTTATATAAACAGAATGGATAATATAATAACTATTTTGAAGGTTAAAAGAAACAGAATGGGTAATATACTAACTATTCCGAAGGTTTATATAAACAGAATGGATAGTATAATAACTATTTTGAAGGTTAAAATCAACAGAATGGGTAATATACTAATTATTCCGAAGGTTTATATAAACAGAATGAATAATATAATAACTATTTTGAAGGTTAAAATAAACAGAATGGTTAATATACTAACTATTTCGAAGGTTCATATAAATAGAATGGTTAACGCACTAACTATTCCGAAGGTTCATATAAACAGAATGAGTATTATACTTACCATTTCGAAGGTTTATATAAACAGACTGGATATTACAGATTCTCAAAGATTCTTTCCCAGTAAAACAAGAAGATACTTCCGAAACAAGACATGAAAACGTTTCTGAGGAGTTAAAAAAATCTTCTACCCCTGAAAACAAAATGAAACATATCTTTATTGAAAAATCATTTACAGGTCGTGTTTTCTGTTTTATATATTTTTTTTAGTTTATTTTTTTATTTTGGTTTCTTACTGCACCGAATAATCTACTGTGCAAGAGAAGGAAGAAATGTGATAGCGTATGGAAGTACTGTAGGTGTGAACTATGTACATAAAAGTATTGGAAGTGTAAACTGTGTATATAGAAGTGCTGGAAGTGTGAACTGTGTATATAGAAATACTTGAAGTGTGAACTGTGTATATAGAAGTGCTGGAAGTGTAAAGTGTGTATATAGAAGTGCTGGAAGTGTGAACTGTGTATATAGAAATACTTGAAGTCTGAACTGTGTATATAGAAGTGCTGGAAGTGTAAAGTGTGTATATAGAAGTGCTGGAAGTGTGAACTGTGTGTATATAGAAGTGCTGGAAGTGTGAACTGTGTATATAGAAGTACTGGAAGTGTAAACTGTGCACATAAAAGTATTGGAAGTGTAAGTTGTGTATATAGACGTACTGGAAGTGTAAACTGTGTATATAGAAGCACTTACAGTGTAAAGTGTGTATATAGAAGTGCTGGAAGTGTAAAGTGTGTATATAGAAATGCTGGAAGTGTGAACTGTGTATATAGAAGTACTGGAAGTGTAAACTGTGTATATAGAAGTACTGGAAGTGTAAGTTGTGTATATAGACGTACTGGAAGTGTAAACTGTGTATATAAAAGAAATGGAAGTGTAAATTGTGTATATAGAAGCATTAAAAGTGTAAACTGTGTATTTAAACGGACTGGAAGTGTGAATTTGTATATAGAAGTACTGGAAGTGTGAACTGTGTTTATAGAAGTAATGAAAGTGTAAACTGTGTATGTAAAAGTACTAGCGCTGAACGAAGTCCTTTGACACACTGTTTGTTTTTGGTTTGCTACTTATCAACGGAGATTAAGGTCGCTGTTCGACATTAATACACAAGTATCACTTTGATTTCTAATGTTACACAGTTGTTACTGGGAAATTTAACAAACTTCACGCTTGGATGGGCTTTTTGTGTGATGCTGGAAATAAGAATATATATAATATCTTGCTTAATACAGCAACCTCTTGATTTTTCTAATTGTTTTTATTTTTCTTTATTTCGGATTTTCCCACGAAGCTATACAAGGGCTATTTGCGCTAGCCGTCCCTAATTTTTAACTAATAGACTAAAGTGATGGCAGCTAGTCAACAACACCCTTGGGCTACTCTAATGGAAAAGTGGAATTTGACCTTTACTCTTATAACGCACCCACGGCTCCAAAGCGCGATTTTAAGAGAATCACTGGACCAAACTCAGCACTTCTGTAAATAAATGCACATGCAATGCATGTTCCCAATAATTTCATAACTGCATTACAAGATAAGGCTTCACGATAAGATATTCATATCTACAAAACATAGAACCAACAACTGAGACACTTACCTAACGACTCACAAGATGTGTTTGCACTGTTCTCACGATAATAGACGCGTAACATGAAAACAATTTCTTTGTTTACAGACGAAGTGCTTTCCCAAAGACATCCATCTGTGTCGATCTCCTCGACGTTTTCTATGTTTGTTATCTCTAGAGGAATAGTTTCCGCTGCTATAAGGTTTCCTGAGTAAAAAAAAATTAGGTTTCCTGAGTAAAAAAAAAAAGGTTTCCTGAGTACAAAAAATTAGGTTTCCTGAGTTAAAAAAAATTAGGTTTTCCGAGTAAAAAAAAGGTTTCCTGAGTAAAAAAAAGGTTTCCCTAGTAAAAAAAATAAGGTTTCCTGAGTAATACAACAAAAATCAGGTTTCCTCAATAATACAACTAAAAACAGGTTTCCTGAGTAACAACAAAAATCAGGTTTCTTCAATAACACAACTAAAACACGGTTTCCTGAGTAACAACAAAAATCAAGTTTCATGAGTAATAGAACAAAAATTAGGTTTCCTGAGTAACTCAACAACAACAAGAACAAAATTTACCTTTACTGTTAGGCTTGGTTTAGTGTCTCTTTTCCCCCTTACCTCAAATTAATTAAAATTTGGTAGATGTATATACATTTTTCAAAATTCTGCGATGATATAAGAACAGTTATCTAGCAATAAGGTTTAGAAAATGTTGACAACTTTAATATTTATTACTGTTATTTCATTGTACTAATTTTGAGTGTCAGAAACTATACGAAAACGAGTAAGTTTGTTTTTAAGATATTGTTTCAGTAACATTTAGCACGTTAGACTGACAGCCTTTATACACACATAAAATGACGATTTAGGTCCAGGTGCTACGGAAGTAAACTTCTGGAACTCAATTTTGTAGATGGCGCCACTGTATAATATATTAATTGTACACGTAAGTTTACTCCACTTTATATACAAACCTCGTGTGTCGTTCTTGGTCTCTTGAAGATGGAAAATCGTGTTGTCCACCGAAACACATAGCGCGGTTTCCATTTTTAATCTTATACAAAGAAAAGTATTCTGTATGTGGAAACGTTGGTGTCATCATTCAATGTTTTATTTTTATTGTCAGTAAAACTTTTTAACACCTGAGTTTGATAAAAGAAACTTAAGTGGAACACATTAAGCTCATACATATATAAACATACTTCTGATGTACTTATCAATATTCTATGTTATTTTACTTTAGTTTTATTTATATACGTACTTAACAGTATTTGTTTTATTCTGGTTTAGTGTTACTAGTTAAGTTTAAGTCTCACCCTCGATGTTTCCAGATTTGGCTAAATGGTTGAAATTATCCACTACTTTTGAAAGTGGCACAAAATGTCGTTGTTGGTTTCCGACGTCAGTTTCACCAATTTTCTGTGGTAAGAGGTTAACATAGTGGATATTCCAGGGGAGTTGGGGAGAATCTTTCTTAGCTGGACAGATCCATAATCTAGAATTCAGAGCAAAAGAAGTGCATCAGAAGTCTAAACTAGGCTAGAACAGTCACGTGTTTTGGAGATTAGAATACATTGTTGAAAGCTTTCATCTGGTGTCGGTTGTAAAGTTAAAACGAGTTATCTGGACTTTGGAATAGCGTAAATGAAGGGAAAAAATTGTGGTGTTTAAAGAAAAAATCATCTAAAGACGAGAGTAGAGATAGAGGAAATTTACCTGAAGCTATAAATAACGTACAAATAATTGTGTTTCGTCCTGTTTAAGAAATATGAAGAAATCGGAGGTTTATGAATATAAATAAACACGTGAGTCTCTCTGGATTGCTCCCTCGAACTAGATCCGGGAATGAATTACCCAAGAGGATCCAAAATTGGTCAAGGAAGGCTGGTTGGATTAGTTTTCAGGGTGAGGGCTAGACCCCAGTTATCCAGATTAGACAGTAGGGTCTTGGGAGGAGCTCTAAATGCATTTATTAAAGGTAATTTTAAACTGAAGTTTAGTGGTGATAAAATGTGAATGAAGAAATTGATAGGACATCTAGGTCAATCAGGAGGTTGTAAAAATATTTAGGGCATAGCAAGATAAATAATAATTTTAAAGGTGAATCCGTCAGATTTAAAGATAAACAATAATAAGCGCAGTTTCTAGCTTTCTAAACTTAGGAACATCACGAACAAAATAGATGAGTTCAGAGCTCTAGTTGAAATGAAAGTTATTATTTAATGGAAATTACGGAAACATGGCTAAGTTGGGAGAATATTCATAATAGGAATTATTTGAAACATCCAAGTTCTAGGTTATTTAATAGTGAAGAGGTAGTTGAACTTTTGAATATTTTTCATCTCTTTTGTTTTTGACAAGGAAAGACATTAATGACGTTTGTGGTAAAAGACCATCTTACTGATGTTTACAAGATTATCATGGGGAAAATTAGGGTAAAGGTCTCTGATTTTTCTGCCGAATCTCGAAGACAATAGTAATCTTAATTCAGAAACCCAGTCGAGCCCTGTACTGCTTTTTCTTTAAAGTAATTTTCCTAATTTTAATCCATTTTTACTGGGACAGATTGAAACGTGGGAGAGCCGACAGCCCAGCCTCCTGCTTCTTACGCAACTAATTGTAATGCATTCTTATATAGGTTTTCTTTTTTTTTGTTCCTGGTGATTCAGCGGTAATTCTCATGGTTCACAACACTAAAATTCTGGTTTCGATACCCGCCATGAGCAGCGCACAGATACGTATTATGTATCTTTCTGTTTAATAACAAGCAAACAAACAAAAAGCTTAAGCTTTCTGCAATAGTCCCCGGTGAGTCAGTGGCAAGATTAGGGACTTAGAGGCTAAAATCCGGGGTTCGATTCCCTGCGATGACTAGAGTGCAGATATCCCATTGTGAAGCTTAGCGCTAAAAACAAAACTAGCTCTCTGCAATAATGTATTGAAATCCAATAAATTCAGACTATCACTGCCGATTTAGATTTTAAGGGATTGAAAAACCAGAAGTATGAGACAACGGGTGGGGTGTTACTAATTCCAGACCATCCTGTCTGTACGATACATCATTAAAAAAGAAGTGTATTTAATTATACTTCTCATAAGACACCATGTTAGGCTTATTATATTTTTAACGCTACATTCTTAATCTGTCTGTCTGTTTTTGAATTTTGCGCAAAGCTACACGAGGGCTATCTGCGCTAGCCGTCCCTAATTTAGCAGTGTAAGACCAGAGGGAAGGCAACTAGTCATCACCACCCACCGCCAACTGTTGGGCTACTCTTTTACCAACGAATAGTGGGATTGACCGTCACATTATTACGCCCCCACGGCTGAAAGGGCGAGCATGTTTGGTGGGACGGGGATTCGAACCCGCGACCCTCAGATTGCGAGTCGAGCGCCTTATCCACCTGGCCATGCCGGGCCCATTCTTAATCTAGTCTCCTAAGGATTTTCATGAATTAGAATAATTTATAATAATAGTATTTACTATGATGTTTACCTCGTTTTCATGGTTTTTGTCCTGATTAATTTAGCGTTTAAAACAGCAACAATATGAAACGTGATTTATAATGGAACAAAGCACAATATCAAGAAATGTGGGAGGAAAACCTTATCACATTCTTGAAGTGAACTATACAAAAAATATAGAATGTACAGGTAAACATAATTTATTTACCTGAGACCTCGAACACCCCATAGTGGGTACTGGGGATTATCTGCGTAGATCGTGATGTTGGGGTCCACCTCAGGGGCACTTAACTTGAACAGAACAGTTTCACAGTTCACTACACAGAAATGCGATTTCTCCTGCAACCACTGGTTGGCCCGTTTAACTAGAGATCTGGTATACAAGACAGAAGACTAGGTAAGTAGAAATGTAGTCTTACACCGGGCTAGTTTTAAAACTCAGTATCCTCCTCTTCTCAGGTGTATTCACCACCACCTAATACACACTATCATTCTCTATTGTATTCCCCATCACCACTTAGTACACATTATCCTTTACAACTGTATTCACCACCACCACCTAATACACATTATCCTTTACAACGGTATTCACCCACACACCTAGTACACATTATCTTTTACAACGGTATTCACCATCACCACCTAGTACACATTATCCTTTACAACGGTATTCACCACCACCACCTAGTACACATTATCAATCTCTATTGTATTCCCCATCACCACCTAGTACACATTATCCTTTACAACTGTATTCACCCCCACACCTAGTACACATTATCCTTTACAACTGTATTCACCACCACCACCTAGTATCTATCCTTCTCTACTGTTTATTGCCACTACAAGTTGTGTTTTTATTTTACTACATTCCACGAAAGAGTAAATATTTCGTAAAATACAAATAAATACAGTATTAATAAAACTTGTACTTGTAAACCGACAGTTGAGATTACTGAATATTACAAGAACTTGTACTTGTAAACTGACAACTGAGGTTACTGAATATTACAAGAACATGTACTTGTAAACTCACAATTGAGATGGCTGAATACTGTGGGCACTTGTACTTGTAAACCGAAAATTGAGATTACTAAATATTACTAGAACATGTACTTGTAAACTGGCAATTGAGGTTAATGAATATTACCAGAACTTCTACTTGTAAACTGACAATTGAGATGGCTGAATACTGTGAGCACTTGTACTTGTAAACTGACAATTGAGATTACTGAATACTACTAGAACTTGTACTTGTAAACCAATAATGAAGATAGATGAATATTGTGAAAACTTGTACTTGTTAACTGACAATTGAGAGTGTTGAATATTATGAAACTTGTGAAACTTTGAGTTTTCACGAAACGTGCTTCAAGTTTTACAATCTGACATGTGAAATTCAAGGTTTAACAACGAATTTATTTGCTCTCACTTTATCAAATAAATTGGAAATTCAACAATAACACTTTATGATGTGTCGTCTTAAGATTCTCTAAAATTACATAAACCTCATTTAAAATAACTTTTGGTAAGCCTATAGTTAAACTTGAGATAGGATAGACAAGTTTATCTGTGAGACTAAAGTGTTGCACTTCTAAGTGACAAGGTGTGCCCAACAAGCTCAAGATTAATCATACAATCCACATTTCTGCCCCCTTCTGTCAAAAAACTTGTTCTTTAGGATAAGCTTCCTTCGATGGTATCAAATAAGATGAGTTTTCAAGCCAGTTTACTGGAATCAAATTTGTTTAGATTCCAAATTTAATAATCTACTGGACGCAATATTTAAATATGGTGGGGAAAAGTTTTCTTTGAACCTATGAGAGTATTCAGTAAAATGCGAAGCAAACCCCGGACCTTCCGATGAGCAGCCGGACACATTAACCCCTCTACGTTAACCCTGGTACACAGTTGTGATGTTAAAGTTTGGATTTCTTATGATATTTTTATAAAATAAAGTATTTTTAAAGTTATATTTTACTTCATTTCTAAAAACAAATATATTTCGATTAAGTGGGTTCAATTCAATATGTATACCCTGTGATGACATTTGAATAATATTTACAACCAACTGTCCAATGCATGATGAATACCTTTTGTCCACATTTGAAGTATTGTTACAACCAACTGTCCAATACATGTTGAATACCCTTTGTCCACATTTGAAGTATTGTTACAACCAACTGTCCAAAACATGTTAAGTACCCTGCGACTATATTTGAATTATCGTTGCAACCAACTGTCCAATGCATGATGAATACCCTTTGTCCACATTTGAAGTATTGTTACAACCAACTGTCCAATACATGTTGAATACCCTTTGTCCACATTTGAAGTATTGTTACAACCAACTGTCCAATACATGTTAAATACCCTTTGTCCACATTTGAAGTATTGTTACAACCAACTGTCCAATGCATGATGAATACCCTTTGTCCACATTTGAAGTATTGTTACAACCAACTGTCCAAAACATGTTGAATACCCTGCTACCATATTTGAATTATCGTTGCAACCAATTGTCTAATGCATGTTGAATACCCTGCTACCATATTTGGAGAAGGTTTAATTTTATGGTACAGAAAAACAAGATAAAATCACTTGCGATAATTCATTAAAACATGGTGTAATAATAAGAATATTTTATATTGGTTCAATGTTGATGATTATCTTAGATTAGTTTATACGGAAGAAAGTGAATAGAACTCGTCGTTTGAACTCAGAGTTCTAAATATTCAAATTATAAAAAAAAACAACAATAAAAAACACGATTCTCAAATAAACTCAGGTTTTGAGTACTTTATCTCTAAGCGCTTACCGAAAATTTTCATAGCTAAGATTGGAGGTTTCACCTTTCGTGTCATTTTGTTTCTCCGGCACAAAGTCAATAAAGGTCAAAGATTGTTGATCCATTACCTCACCATTGTCGACTTCTTCTGCAATGTTCTTCCTGAAACTGGACGACACTGATACACGCTTGAGAGTACCTCTCGATAGTCTTCCCCCGGTTTCGGCGTCCGTTCTGTATAGTTCAAGGATCGGTATTTGTTTTCCACAAGATTCACAGACGGCGGGGGTTGAACAATAATTCTGGTTATCTACAGGGACTAACACTTGGTTATCGTTAGGATGACCAATGTCCTGTATTCTATGTACTCCCAGTGTTACGTCATTTTGGTCATTTATAGAACCGCCGTTATCGCACTCTACACACCTCTGACCGTTAGGTGGCAACTTCGAGAGACTTTCGTCGTCTGGGGATGGTACTGGGTCGTCCGAAATCGACTGGTTTTTCGTTTCATAGTTCTTTTCAAACGTACCTTCGTCTTCCTGGCCCTGGGCCAAAACTTTTTCGCTTTCTTTGGCATTTTTCGTTTTAGATTCATTATCGTTTATTCCTGTTAGGTTGCCTCGTGGGTCCTCACAATTTACAGAAGTGAACGTGGTTGTGTTTATTTCAGTGGTGAATTTTGGAGGAACCATATCACCCTCATCCTGAAGAAGTCCTGACCCCTCCATAGCAACAAAGATTTCAGTTTCAGCACAAGCGAAATGGAAGAACACTAGAAATACCAATAGCGTGACAATTTGGCAATCCGAATGTACACTTACTTGCTCATTCGTTCTACTGTTATCAGAGGGCAAAGTTTATCACGAAGATTGTTTTATATAACGCAGGGGAGTTGCAGACATTTTGAACATTTTCTTTCGACGATTTAAAGCTGATCACGCAACAATAATCTCCCACGGTATCTTCATAGTCTAACGTTTTCACTCAGTCCTACATCACCACTTTTCTGGTCTTTTCACGGGTCCTAAATTACACTTAAATTATCTCTGCAGCCCGTCGTCATTTTTGCTTCTCTTGTCACTATTTGAAGCTCGTTTATACAAAAATATCTAAAATAGTTCAGTCGGTGCCCACTAGAGGGAGAAGCTGAGCGTAGCTATACCTATTACCTGGTAAAAAATACTAGTTAAATATTAGCTATAAAGTTATTTTTGAGATTTATTTGAATCTAAGTAAATTAGGATAAATCAATCCATAGAATATTTTTATATTAAACAAGAAACTATCCTAACGAACATAAGTTAAACTTCCATGCAGTATAATATCCGAAAGAATCATGGAAAACACGTATCCGGAATAGAATGAACTTCTAAAAAATGTTTGTTTATTAAAAGAAATAAATCTCCATTATGTTGGATGCTAGGTAGTTTACTTTATCTTAGTTATTACTTTCTTTTTTTTTAAACACTTATTTACACGAATACTTGTCAGTCCACAACTGAAGATACAAGTAAAG